CTTATATAAATAGAAAATTAAAAAAAAAAAAAATTAAAGATTAGATATAAGCTAGAAATAAGTAAAACTAAGTTATATATATCTAGTTATATATAGTCTAATCTTAGAATATTCTTTTTATATATAATAATAATTATAAAAAAAAATAGTTAATAATTATATATAGTTTTTTATTTTTTTTTTAGAATAAATATAATTAGACTTTTTATAAATAAAGTAGATTATTAAATATAACTAGTAGTAAGTTCTTTATTAATATAATTCTAAAACTTACTTAATTATTTTTTATTTAAGTTATAGAGCTTAGAAAAATATAGTTATATACTATTAATAAATTTAATTTTATAATTCTAATATTAATATAGAGATTATCCTATTTTTAATTCTTTTTAATAGATATTATATAACTATTATAACTTGAAACGATTAAAAAATTCATCAATTGAACGTACAAAAACATGCTCTACGTAAGGCTAGAGGTTGCTTTGTAAAAGAAGCCTGTTGTCTAACATACAAATCCAATAAAGCCAAATGCTGCGCCAATACCAAATATCAATCGGTATACTGGTCTATAATTTATTCAACAATAATCTAGGCAGCATCAAACTTGGACTTGTTGAATTCGCCTCCAGCTAACTTCCTAGTGGGATGACAGCAATTCCATTGGGTTGCAGATACTTTGGCATGTTATAACGCGGTGAGGATAACGTCCACTGCCACAAACCGGTGGCAATATGGCGACAGGCATCTGCGTACGCGCGCAGATCGGAGCTGCTTCGGCCTTTTATCTCATACTGGTGACCAAGAGAGGCTGTAGCTTGATCAAAAGACGTTATTGCCCCCTCAATCTCATGGAGTAAATTTTGCAAAATGGAATTCAAGTCGTTTGGTTCCGAAGCACTCCACAAAATGGGAATAGCACTTTGGGCTACGCCGTTACGCTAGAACACGTTAGCAGAACGTGCTAGTCAGTAATTTGCACACTTACCAGCTCTTTTTGTAGTGAAAAAATGTCGTTGATACTACGTAGGTCAGCAAAGCTCCAACATGTCGATATATTCTACTCACAGCATGCATATGACGCTGATACTCTTCCACATGCATCTTATCTCTGCACTCTGGATGACCCATTCTGGTAACTTAACCTCCGCAGTTAGTCTGAAGATCGTTAGTAGAGGCGGATACATCGTGATATAACGACAACCCACTCGCAGATTGCCAAGCCCGGACCAATAGCTGAAGTATCTAGGCGCAGGTTCATATAGTTATCAAAATTGGGCAGGTGGTCTACATCGGAGTTCCCCATTTGCTCGACGGCCGCTTGCTCGATAAACGTCTTGATGGTGTTGGCAAATCGCCTTGTTTGGTCTCAAAGCAAGTCAGCTAAGACTTCACAGGCAGAAGGGTTGGAAGTTTTACCATTGCTCATGTTCATGCGTAGCTGTTCGCTCAGGCGATCGAATATCTTCATAACATTAGGACCGGCTGAGCTAGAATGGGCCATGCCTGGGTCGAACACTTCCTCAACGTGGCGGAGGGAACGGCTGCAGTAATCCTTAGCATTCTCGTGATTGATGGCGGTGCACGTGTATCCTTCTCCCATATCAATTTCGTCGTCCCAGAGAAAGATCCACAGGAGCAGTTGGGTAGCGATTAATGACCCAGCCCGTGGGCAGGTAGGATAACACCTAATTACTTGTAAGCTTCTCAAATCGAGAAACCCGTGAAATGCCTTACAGCGCTGCCAGTAGTCCAAAGTCACATTTCCTCAGCTTCATCAGTTTTTCTGGAGCTTCGACGGTCCTAAATGGATTTAGCCGCGTCTCTTATAGTTGGGAATGCGGCATACATTTCAAGGAGCTTTTCAACCTCAGCTCGCGCAGCTTCGATGTTTGGGTTCGCTCCTCTTGGCCAGTCTTGCAATAGCCGACCTAGGTCGGGCACGTACAGAGTCATTTGCGAAAGGGTGGTGGCAATACTCTTCGCCGGCTGTTCCCTGGGCATTTGAAACATCGTGGAATTAATGATCGTCCCTCCAAACAAATAGCCTCGGCTGACAGACAAAATTCACAGCCTATAAAACCGGCCGTTCGCAACCTGCTCAAACGAAAATTGGGAAATTGGCTTCTTGTTCGACGGATTGAACGGGTTCAATTGTGCTGGAGCAAGGGAGGGAATATGTAGTCTTTTCACTTCCTCGAAAAGTACTCATGGTATGAAGAAATCCCACAAATAATCACGTCAAAGGTTTCGCCCCACGATTTCGTCATCTAAAGTGCCAGTCGGCTTGCTCCAAGACATTTATCCACTTGATCACCGAGGATGGTATCTCTGACCACCCAAGTAGTGCGTTCAGGGATCAATTATCGAGTTATCAGGATTGGCGGTGGCGAGTTGGACACAAAAAGCAAATTGATTCAGTTATGCAAGCACCAAAAAGATGCAAGACAAAGAAACGATGCGATCAGTCTTCCCATCATGGGGAATAGGTTACGTTACGTCAGACTGATGTAATAGCTATGGTAACTGTATCAATGAACTTTACTATAAGTCATAGATTCATGTAGCAATGCCACCAATGACGAGCACTCAAGAGATAACATGCTTCAAGCCAGTGCTGTGACATGTTCTAGTCAGGAAGCACGGATTATACATCCTTTCCAACGAAGAAACAACATAGATCAGATTACATGGTCTTGGTTTGCATATTCGCAAGATACGAAAAAGCTACTTCGTCACTGTATCTCAGTAATTCGAATTGTCTCAGACAAGAGGTACTGGACGGTCGAAGGTCAAGAATTGCCACACCGCTACTATGACGCGGCTTGTCGGAAAGTACATGCTTAAAAATGACCACATAAGTCATCAGCCTATTTCAAGTAGATAGTACTGAGACGCCAATAGGCCGAGTTGTAGGCATCACAAGTCGGTCTGATCGCCCAGGCCGCTATGAAACCAATGTGCACTTTGATTTGCAAAGCCGACAGTTCCTATCGGGCCGCGGCACAACAATCTGTGGCTTATGACATTAGGGAAGTGGATTTGTAGATGCATAGTGATGGAGAGGTCCGGTCCGGGTGTGCCGATAGTCACCCTAGTTAATGGGCCTACCGTGGTGTTGATAGGAGAGGCAAGCAGGTGACATAAGACATGGGACACCAAACCAGTACTGCAAGCGTCTATAACTGAGGAGGCTCTATATTTTGTCCGCTGACAAACCGCCCTAGAAAGGCTAGAAAAAGGCTACAATATAAATTTAAAAACTATAGAAAGAATAGATTTATTTTTAGAAGGTTTTATTCTATCTCTTTTGCCGCGCTTAATAGCTAAAAACAATTAGCAAGAATTTAGTACCTTATTTCTTATAAGAAGTGACATTCGGCTACGTTAAGCGAAGGGAGCTGTAACGCTGTTATCGACCAAGGCGCTACGATATACCAAACCCTAGTTCACTATTTTCTTACCTATAACCGGATCAGGTCGACTGTATATATACTACTGTCCTACTATCACGATATAGGATATATATCTTAGTAACCTTGTATTAGGATAATCTAGGGTACTGTACCAGGCTGGGCTAGATAATTAATTTTAAGGCATATATTATATTATATATTCTACTATTATCTCTTAGATATGCTAATAAAGCTATCTAACTATACTATTCTAAAATTATATATATAGGCGAAAAGTATTACTACAAAACTTTAGGGCATGAGAGTATATGCTACAGGGATCTATTGAGTAATTTTTTTATGTTGGCTTTATACGGAGGCAGCCGAGATATAGAGCATTCTCTCGTCCACTAGCTGACTTCCCTAGTACACCCATATACTTTGTTACCGCACTAGCCGCAGTATTATTCAAGTTGTTTTCAGATACAAGCGTCCCGTCTCAAACAATATAACCTCAACCAGGATATGAACCCACGTTTCCGTACAGAACTTTATCATTTGGCCGCCGTATTATGCAAGTTGTCTTCGGGTACGAGCGTCCCGTCCCGAACGATGTAACCCCGGTCGGATATAAACCCCACGCTTCTGCAAATGCATCAGAATGTTATCAATCGGGCCGTCACCGCATTACGCGGTCGTCTTCGGATGTGAGTGTCCCGTCCCGAGCGATGTAACCTTGGTTAGAATGAACCCCACGCTTCTGCAAATGTATCAGAATGTCATCGCTAAGCTTGGTCTCAGATGATTGAACGATTGAAGTACTGACCAAATTAGGATTACATTGCGAGGAGAAGGGCGTTGCATCAGTGGGGACAGCCGACAAGGGGTGTGGCGTTAAGATGTTGGGGAGTTACGCTATTGCATAATAGATAACTCTGGGCGGCGCCTCCTACGTAACTAGGGCACTTGCGGTATACAGGGTACTGTACTACAACTTGCATACACTAGCTTCAGATCGATGCTGTGATATCAAGGATATTCCAGATGCAAAACCATGATATCGTTAGAAACTTATTTTGTTAGCTCGCCCGGACCACCCATAACCTTAGACCACGTATGACGCAGTACGGTGTGGTACTTGTCAACGCATGGCGTGCTTTTGTAATAGACCTGGGGCAATTCTCGGGTACTGTGGTGGGTCCCACGGGTTCTGGCGTATTTTAATGATGGTTACCCTCTAGCTTTCCTAATCGAGTCATCTAGTCAACTGCCAAGAATGTCAGCCGCCCCCGCCCTTTCTCTCCACGTTCTTTTACCGTATTAACAATGCCTCATCACCTAACGCATCCCACAGAACGGCTATAATCAAAAGCTGAAAGCTGAATTATGCTTTATTTTGGCTCGAGTTAAACCGCAGACCGTTAATCCGCCTGTGGTTTTAAGTTGTTTAATACTAGATAGCTGCTTATGTTTAAAGAAACATAGAAGTTGCTAGTATAGCTTTCTAATGACTGAATCTCCAAGTCTCGGCCCTAAAGGATTTCCGCAGCCCATCAGCCAGGCCCTAAATAGGAACGGCGAAACAGCAGAGAAGACTCACGACGATAAGTAGGCATGGAATACATCAGCGTGTCATCCAATTCCTCTACTAGAGTCTTTCGGTGGTCGAGGAGAGAGAGGAGACATGACACCACAAATGCACCGGTCATAGAAACAGCCACCCAAGTGAAGCTGTCAGTCATATTGCCATACTACTATCAAATAATGACAAAATGCTAGCTAGTCAACAAAGCTGTTGTGCACGACCAGTTCTGTCCGATAAGATATGGAGGATACGTAAGAAACGAGATGCCTGAGTGGGAGACGTATGCAGATTATCGGTTTGGACGATTATATATATATAAACCTCTACATATTTAGCATGTCATGCATACTCCATCTTGGACTCATTGTTAGTGTCGTTGATTCGTTACTCTGGGCCTAGAACATTGCTATATCGCCCTCGTTTCCTTCTTAGAAGGCATGATTGGTTATGGTGGGCTGTGCGTTCTACGATCTGCATGTCCACGGAGACAAGCAGAATGTGCCCCAAGCGAGGCGAGAATTGCGGAGTCATACGACATGCCACCCCCCCGGACGGCCACTATCGTTATTCCAAGGCTTCGCACTCCTCGAGCGCGCGCTGCTGCGAGGCCTTGCCTCCATTCGAGAATAAATACTTCCATTACCGTCCTGTAGGGCGGTGATCGATGTAATTTAATTGGTGATCGTCTGCTATCTGAGACATGTCGGATGCGCTGCCCCAATCACAACCTTACACGAATCCAGACCGAAACAGCTTATCAACCATATACATAGCCTATTTTGAGGTAGGATTTCGATGAACAAGCGCGCAATAATGGCGCAGTGGCCGTTGCCAGCACTCCTGATGCTAGTAGTTTCTTACTGGCCGATTTTGACGCGTTCAACGAAGATGTGGGCAGTATTTTTGAACGGCTGACCCTGGCCTGCTCAACCATTCGATGTCTGAGAGGCACCGGATACACCTTTGTATAGCCGTTGATTGATACGGTCTCGTCGTTGGCACAGTTGATGGGATCGCTTGGCATTCAGACGGGGCGCCACTAAAGACTAGAGGGTGGCACACTACCCTCACCCCACTACCCTGGCACGATGATCTAGCTAAATTCAACGACGTCTATGGTACAGATTGAATGTAACGCTTGAATGTCACTAGTAGAAGCTGTATTATCTTAGGGGGTGGGCCTCCTGAGACTCGCAACAGTGATAGACCTTGATTGCACCATAGCACCCGGCAGATTGTTACATAGCAAATATTGCGTTACAGAATCCTTACGGGACGGTCAGGGGTAGGGCGTACATACAGACTGTCCACCAAGCCCAATATAGCCAAGTTCTCCGATCTTCCTCTCTCCCCCGGAACAATAGCTGACGAATAGCAACAATGATCCCTAACGATATTAGAACAAGCCCAAAAGATGCCCGTGGCCGCCAATATAATATGCCGATGGAAGACCAAAAAAGTACAGCAATCGTAATTGACCACCTGGCCGAACGCTCACCAAAAACAAGTGGCACCGTACTCCGACTTTTCGCAGCATCTCCTTCCATATCATGAAAATCCGAAACATGCATCGTAGTAAAGACCACACCAGCAATGATAAGCACCCAACTATAGGCGTGCGGTTTTAGTGTCCCTCCCGGTCCACAGCCAACCCTCAAGGCTCCTGTCAACCCTGAGGAGTACAAGGCTGCTACAACGCCATTTCGTGTCACTAAGCTTTTATCGCCACCTCGTCGGTCGTTGTACATCCAGGATAGAGTGTAGGCGATTGCGGTCTCTACATGTACGCCGAGTAACCATGATAAGGCCATGACGATTGGCGCTAGGGCAAATAGCAGTCGCCTGCTAGTCTGCAGAGTAATGAGGTCAGAAGGAATTGGACGCCACGGTTTGTTTATTCGGTCTTCGAGAACGGCTGCCGGGGAGCACTGGTTTGAGATGCTGAATATCAAGACAATTCCCCAAACAAATAATATGACGAGCGGCGCTCGCGTGAGAACGTTAAGATGATCTGTGTCTTGGACTGTTGTAAGAAGGGGTCCTGAGAGAGCTCCGAGAATACCAAAAGTTGCAACCGGAAGCACGGTTGGGGCGAAATCGGAAGCCGTGAAGAGATACAAAAGTCTAGATACGTAGACTATGTTGTAAGTAACATTCTATCCGTGGTTAATTAGCATTTTTCCGGCTCTTGGAGCATATACTGGGCCCGAGCCTGACCTTTAGGTGATTCATTTTTAGTGTAAGTATTAAGTCTCGTCACCGTGACCTTAATAGCACAGAGTATAGATTGGTAGAAGCGGGAGATCCTAGTATTTCAGTTGATTAAGTCGTAGGCTGCTTTGCTAGCACAGAGATGCCAATATTTATACCCCGAACTCCTCTCCTCAAGCAGCTCAAAAACATGGAAAGCTCTGATTTTAAGGCTTTGCTAGTGTACTGGCAATTAATGGTGTGGTTGGGGCGGGTAGATAGATCGGGGAATACCAATCCGTCGTTTCCTATGCTTAGACGATGCCACCGCACGCATTTCTCCTGGACAGGATCGCCGGGTACATCAACAAGTCCGGGCACTATATCATCCGTGCTTACAACGAACGGTTGGGGTCATCTGCCACTAGTACATGCACGGCGTGTCTTGTGGGGGTTCTTGGGGGTGTGCTGGTCTACATGATGGGGGTGTATAAGTTGTTCAAACAGGTAGAAACCGGATTTGTATTCCATACTTACATAAAGCTCATCCGTGCATTCAGTAGTGACGTGGCATATTGCAACCCTCAAATACCAGGAGCTCCACTATCCCTTTGGCTGCGATGCGGTGCCAGGCAGGCTGCGAGGCCTCCGATTTTCTGGTGTTTACCTGGAGGTACTTGATGGTAGGGATGATTCGGGTGTGAGTGGCAAGTAGCTTGTTGTATTGTCTGGGAAATACGATACTTCTTTACTATGCTATTTTCATATGGGGAGACTTGTATCTTTCTCTCGATGTTAGTCTATTGGTCAAATAGGGAAAAAGTGACCTGCCTGGCACCGCATCGCACCCAAAGGGATAGGTGTAGCTGAGACACACGAATCTTGCCTCGCCCTAGAGGTCAGTCGACCCCCGTATATCATTGGAAGCCACACGCTCTACTCTCCTCCCTGGTGTCAGACTGATATTATTTAAATCCCCAAACTTCTTTCATTATCTGCTCAAGCGACTATTATTCTTTAAGGATCACATAATCCTAAGCTTGTGGACTTCCTTGGCCATGGCAGCATTCAGCTATATAGCACAGGAACTATGTAGTTTCTGGGACAATTACGGGTGGCATTGCCCTGCAATTCTTCTGTTATCTTGGACCGGTTATTTCCTTCTCATCCTCGCCTATAGGTTAACTTTTCATCCGCTCGCGAAATTTCCAGGGCCAAAAATCGCTGCCGCGACTCACGCGTACGAATTTTGGTTTGACGTTGTCCGGTGGGGGCGCTACACTCATGAGATTAGGCGGATGCATGAACGATACGGTGAGTGTGTTCTAGTCGTGCGTTTGAGCTAATGTTCTAATGCTTGTTGTGAGGACCTATTGTACGAATCAATCCGGATGAGCTTCATTGCAGCGATCCTGAATTCATTGATACTATTTATGCATCTGGACACCGCAAAACTGATAAGCCCAGTCATTTTGTTTCTGCCTTCCCTCCAAGGTGAGATATCACTAATGATACTTCTATATAAAATTGCTAAGGCTCGCAAAGTGTTCACCAGGTTAGGCTCACAGAGCAAAACACAATTCTGCTTCATTTTGATTAACACCTTTTAGACAGGGGTCGGAACCGTCGACCATGATCAACATAGGCTTCGTCGCGGGGCGATAAACAACTTCTTCTCTCGATCTCAGATCTACAGGCTCGAGAGCTTGATCAACGAGAATGCTCAGAGGCTATGTGATAGGCTCCTAGATCTACGTGACCAGAAGCCTATTCGAGTAGTCGACCCCTACAGCTGCTTCTCGTCAGACGTTATAACAGAATATTGCTTTGGCGAAAGCTTTGAATATCTGAGCCAGCCTACCTGGGAGCCAAATTACAGAACAGCCCTAAACATCCTTTTTGGCTACATCCACATATTCAGGCATTTCCCCTTTTTAGGATACCTAATAGAAATCATTCCCCTGTAGGTTCAGTGCACTATTATAAATCGTATTGTGCTAATTAGCGCCAGGTCAATAGTCTCGCGGATCTCTCGAAATGCAGGCCTCGTCATGAAAGACCTCAAGGTAAGATTCGTAAGCCTGTAATTGTGGCGCAATGTGTCTCACCTCGTCAGGTTATCATACCGGAGAAGATTAGACGAACCGAGTCGATCTCTACCACCATCAATGGCACTTCCCAAACTACAATCCTATCATCGCTAATGGCGTCCAACCTTCCACCAAGTGAAAAGACAATAGAGAGGCTATCCGCCGAAGCCAACGTTCTTTTAATTGGTGGCACGCAGTCCACCTCTGTTACTCTCGAACTTGCTACCTACCATCTCCTTGCCAACCCTCTTATCGCCGAAAGACTGCGATCGGAACTTTCAGCTGCCGTGCCCGATCCTAAAAGGCTCCCAGCATGGAAAGATCTCGAGAAGCTACCGTACTTCACCGCTGTGATCCTCGAGACGCTTCGTCTTGTGTATGGCGCTCCAGGTAGACTACCACGAATCGCAACGGATCAGGACCTCTTCTATTCGGGAACATGGGTATCTCCTCGTAGCCATGACAAGGTAAAAGTGTCCCATGTCATACCGAAAGGGCACGCCATCGGAATGTCAGCATTCATCATTCACATGGACGAGACTATCTTCCCTAATGCAGCAACATTCAAGCCCGAAAGATGGCTTGATGAAATGGGCAAGGTAAACAGGGGGTTGGAGCGGTATCTTTTGAGCTTTTCCCGGGGCAGCCGAAACTGCATAGGAATGCAGTAAGTTCTCCATGAGCACCATTATGATTGATTCTAAACATTATCTGAAGATTAGCATACTGCGAGCTTTACGTTTGCATTGCGGCGTTACAGCTTCGCGTTCTACCCAAAATGCGGCTCTACGAAACTAATGATTTGGACGTTCAGTACGATCATGATGAACTTGTTGGAAAACCAAGGTCAGATAGTCAGGGTGTAAGGGTCCTAATCGTCTAGTCGGCTATTCATGGTACCGCGCGGTACACATAGTCTCGCCCGTCCAAGTAGCCAATCCTATTTGGATGGAATGAATAAAGACGCAGTTTTAAGTCTGCTACAGAGTGGCCTTTTTTCACTGGCCAAATAAGAACGAGAAATATACCACCTGTGCTGCCTACGTTGCGAAGTCACCATCAATAACAAACGTGTGACATACCAATTTGACTTTCACTGTACTATAACTACGATTCTATAATAGGAACCAAGTCGACATTAGTGTATTAACAATGCCAGAGATTACCTATAATAACACCATTGCAAGAAAAGAAGAACCTCGTAGTATTTCACTGGGTTGCATCTCTCCCACGGTTGATGCAAGACTGCACCTTAGATGCGACCCCGTCCAAAAGGCTTACGCGGCGAGCCTAGGCAAGATCCAACAGGGCAGATCGGGTTTATTCCCGGTAGTCATCCCAAGAGCAGTCATCATTCTGGACCAGAATGATGCGCAGGCAGGCTTGGAACAATGACACGCTGGTTTTTCTATCGCCAGTTTTCGTCTATGACGCCCGAAAACTCGCCGCTAAAAAGCAGCTGAAGCAGTCCGTGGATGCTTCAACGAGAAGTATTTCTGGATACAATTGGCTCAAGCTCTACAGTAGTCAGATAAATAATTGCGAGACTTATAAGACTTGCCCATTTGTCCTTAATGTGAGTCCTCAGGAAAGCATTGTAGTGCTGGTCATTTTGACATTGACCAAAGCTTGGCAGTACGTAACAGGTACCCGCCTATCTCGGCACTCATCGGTATCCATCCTAAGATGTACACAGGCAGGGATTTCGACTATGATGAGAAGGGCAAGATTATTGGCTAGCATGTGAACGGCAAGATCGTAGTGTATTTTGACTGTTTTCACGAGAATATGCCAACTTCACGGGCTGTCCCATTTCAGAGAAATCGAATGATCAATTACTTATCAGCGATGGAGGGGAGTATGCAGAGCTGTAAATTCAAGTTTAGGGTCATGAGTTATTATATCTAGTAGACACTCTAACATAGCAGTAAGTTTATTAAGCTTGCCTTTGGCACCCAGATATCTCTAAAGCTATAGATAGTGTTATAAAAAATAACGCTAGATGTAACGGTTTGGCGACTTATACTGGACAGGGGCCTAGGGTAGGTTAGGGATATGACCAACCAGAGTTGTTCTAGGTGGGATGATCAGGTTATCTTAGGTCCTGCGCGAGTAACAGGTAATGTGCGAGCACTGAGGGGCTAGTCTTAATGAAGGCGGTAGCGATTGTATTAATAACTGCCTAAGAGAGTGTTTCTGGCTAAGAAATGAATGAATTCATACAGGTTGTTCACCTGGAAGTTCGCGCCTGTCTTCACTTGGGACTTCACTTGGGCCAAGTGAAGTCTTTCCCATTAGTCCGTAAGGTGGGTCACATTGCCCACCGAACGTCGCTCCGCTGATGAAAAATATATACTGTTATTATCGAATATTAGTATTGCGTGGTACTCTACTAATTTCACCTAGTTCCAGCTATATAATCCCCTCAGCTTGTTTGGTCAGTAGTTAAGTTGGAAGTAGATAATGAAGGTATATTATTCTGGGTAGGCTGGAAGCTTACTGGAGATCTCCTTATAGCTAGTAGATAAGCTTATTCCTATAATAATAAAGTTAGCTTACTAAGTGCTAGCTAGATTAATACTAAGATTACTTATAATTACTTCGAGAGTAGGGGGAAATAATAGGCTACTAGAAGAGTTTTTAGTTCTAATATTGGTTATTTTATTATACTATAATATAGATATTAGTATTAAAACAGCTGCTTATTTTATTACCTCTTTATATAAAGCTCTTAATAGGCTTTATAATATTCCTATCGTTCTGTTATATTTTAAGGGAGAAATTAGGAGCTGAGCTATTATATAAACTATATAAGTTACTATTTTAAGAGTAATTAAAGGCTATATTCTAGCCTATATTTAACTTAAATAAAAATAATATAAATATTAGTAATATAAACTTAAGAGACTGAAAATTGCCTAGGAGTTTAGGAAATAGTACTACTCTTATTCTTAGAGTTTAATTAATAAACTTAATAGGTATAATAAACTGTTTTATACTGGCTGGGGCTAACTTTATATAGGGTCTATCTAACTTATCTACTTCTCTCCAGTTTCTAAATTTATTAGGTGATTTTTACTACTAGGTATAAAAATTTCTTTATTTCTAGCTTAATCCTTTACTTATAACTCTATTATTCTAATTAGTAGTTACTAGTAATATATATAGCTCCTATTCTAGTATATATATATAAGTAATTTAATAGAGAGATATATATTTATAATATTATATTTTAAAAATATATCTATATATATATACTACTATATATATACCTTATTACTGAATAAATATAGAGCTCTACTTTCTTAGCTGTTCTAAAAATAGAATATATTTAAAGAGATATACTACTTAGTATAAGGGTCCGATATATCCTATTTGCTTTTAGATAGATCTATTCCTACCAGCAGGCCTAGAGTAAGACTTATCTTCTAGACTCTTTATCTAGCTATAGAGCTTATAGAGCTAGAGGTAAAGGCTAATAATATCTTCTAAAGTATTAAACTATTATTTAGAAAAAATACTTTTAGCTTTATAAAGAATTTATCTTAGAGGTATCTTAGGTTTAAATATATTTATAATATTAATTAAGAGAATATAGTTCCTAATTACTCTGAAATAGTATCTTAAGGTGAGATACTAATAGATATTAAGATATTCTACTAAGATTATAGTACTAATAAAGATATATAATCCCTTATATCTATAGCTAGACAAGTAAGATAAGCTGAAATCTGTACTAATTATTTATATACTAATACTTTAACTGGTATAGATAATTTTAGTACTAGAAATAAGGTCTGTAATAAAGGTAGTAACTTAGCTGTTCTTTCCCCTGCTAAAAAATATATCTATATAAGGGATAACTCTATAGTATATAAAGTTATTAATAAGAGAGCTAATAATAATTATACTTAAAGAAATACTATATATATATTAGAACCCTATAAGTTAGCTAAATAGCTTTAGTATCTTAATTAAGATATAATTATTAGTTTCTTTAAATTATATTAGAACTATTTAATTATTAATAGTCTTTTTAATACTATTCTAAGAGAGACTATTATCTTTCTAGATAGTACTATATATCTACTCTATAAGTAGTAATAAGATTATTATAATATTTTATAGATATTAGGTAAAAATAATAGTCTATATTCTCTATATTAAGTTATAGCTGAAATTAGATTATTATAATATTATACTAAGTTTCTAAAAGAAGTATAACTTTATTATAGCTAAAAGTATAATAAAAGTATAAAAAATCTTATTTATAAGAAATATATTTATTAAGTATTTTCTAATACTATAAGTAAGAGTTTAAAAATATATTATATAAATTTCAAAAGCGATCTATAGTCTGCTAAACAGTAGGTATTAATAATTAATAGGTATAAAGGAAAGAGTGGAGCTAGTCTGAGAATAATCTTAGCAGCCTCTAAGAGCTTAATCTTATTTATATAAGCAAATCAGTAAAGCAGATCTTTAGGTCCTGTACTAATATTATAAACTACTTCTATCTCTATTTATAAGCTCTTTTAATTATCCTCTAGTTATATATATATCTATAATATAGCTAATATCCTATATATTACTATATTATTACTATTTACTATTATTATTATTTACCCTAGGTACTAGATCTAGTTAATCTCTAGTCCCTCTATTTAATCTCTAATAAAAGAAAATCTTATATATAGAATAAAAATCTTATTCTATTTATTTTCTTTATAGCTCTATCTAGATATTAATATAGCCTCTAGTTCCTTTTTATTTCTTATATATCTACTATATTTCTATCTTAGCTCTTATCTATTAGTTTAGTATAGATAGAATAATCTTTAGTTTATATTTATATTAAATATAATTTAGCTCTATTTTAAAATTAATTTTTTATAATTAGTTTTAAATAAATAATTAAAGAGTATTTTTCTAATTTTCTAATTAGTTAGTTTTATTTTTTACTTTTTAGATTTAATTTTCTTTTTAGAAATTATTAGAACTTTATATTTTTCTCTATTTATTTTTCTTA